AATGCCTAGAAGGTAAAATAACCAAAATGCAATCCAGCTTTGGATCAATACGATCCACGTGCCCTTCATGTACTTTCTTTTCTACCAAGGCCAATTCTTTCTCAGCTTCAGGTGATAATTCTCTTGGACTATTTAAGTCCTTGTCACCTTCTAAGGTTTTGAACAAATTAGTCAGTTCATCATTTTTAACCCCAACAATAGTTCGTAGATGAGAAATATCTCCAAATAATCTTTGAAAGTCATTAAGAGTCTGTAGTCTATCTCTCCTAATTTGCACCTTTTATTGACACAGTGATGTAAACTAATAGCCTCATGTCATATTCTAGTTGAAAATCCAGTACTGTCTATCTTTACTTCTTTATTCAAGTGATCCAGCTTTGGTATTAGGAGCCCCTTCAGAATAGATTCTGACTTCCTTCAACAAGACTTCATGCTCTTCTGACATTTCATTACTTTCTCACACCACAGATGTTCTCGGGTCATCATAGTGTTTTTCCTGCCCTGGCCCTGGACTCAGATGCTTCTTCAGGAATTCTGATTTCCTTGACTGTAAAATTATGTTTAGCAACCAGAATCTGGGCTCTATGTTCATGGCTAACATTATGTAGTACCACCCAACTATTTCTACGCAGTATTACCATAAATCTAGTCACTCACAAAAAGCACCTATTTATTATTCCTCAGACTGTAGGCATGGCTTAATTCATGTTTTGCTTAGGGCTTCATAATACTACACTCAGGGTGTCAGAGAAGCTGGTTCTAGAGGCTTTCCTAGCAGACAGTGTTGGTGGAATTTCCTCTTCTTGATATTGGCCATAGATTGTCTTCACTTCCTTGCCACGTGAGCCGCCCCCACCCCCCCCCACCCCCCCCCCCCCCCCCCCCCCCCCACAACAAGGCTGCTTGTTCAAAGCCAGCTGTAGAAAGATCTATAGCGAAGCCCTCTAGAGAGATGGTGTTTTATAATGAAATGTGCTCTCGGAAGTGAGTGATCTCTCCCCCTTGTCACTTTATTAGTTAGACACAAAGTTCCTGCTCCTGCCCATAGTCAACTGGAAGGACTGAATCAAAGGCATGAGTGCCGGTGGGTGGGGGTTGTAGGTGGTGTCCTTGTTGAAGTCGTCTATGGTAGGGGTTATAGTTGGGCCCTCTCGCAGACAGCACTAGGAAGCCTGTGTATGTGCACTAACCCACTATTATGTGACAAAAGTTTTCCTGGGGTATGTGGTACACACATCTATTCACATCAGATAGGAACCCACAACAGATGGACACCACCAAAGTCCAACTTGGTGAACCAATGAGTTTCATTGGGGTGACTTACAGGAATGTGGGTGAGGGGTTACTTACTGGAGCAGAAATGACTCAAAGACAACTGCGTCACCAATGCCCACCCCAGCATGGGTGACAGCTCACACAGCATGGGAACCTGGAGCTCACTGCACAGCCTGCAGGCTTCTCACCAGGTTGGAGAGTGTCCCTTCTAAGCGACTCCAGTCTACAACTCTTCCAGGAAGCTGGTCTGGTCTCTGAGTCTTCTTTGCAGCTTGGCTTATCTAAGAGTCTTCTTCAAAGCCTAGCTTACTTCCATCTGAGGGAGACTCTCAGCTTTTATTGCTTACTCTAGTGTGGTGGTTCTCAACTTTCCTGATGCTGTGACCCTTTAAACAGTTCCTCATGTTGTGGTGACCCCAACCATAAAATTATTTTCATTGCTACTTCATAACTGTAATTTTGCTACTGTTATGAATTGCAATGTAAATATCTGTGTTGTCCAGTGGTCTTAGGTGACCCCTGTGAAAGGGCCATTTGACCCCCACCCCCAAGGGGTTGTGGCACACAGGTTGAAAACCACTGCTCTAGTGAATCTGGTCAGTTTCAGGGACTTCCTAAAGCAATTTTGAGTTATTTACCTTCCTGTTTAAGGAACCCACAGGATGGAATGTTCTAGTATCAGAGGAAACTGTTATACAACATCCACATAGATATATACTTTTATGTTTCCGTATATACTGTGTGTATAATAAAACTGTGATATATGAGTTGTTCTAGTACCTCTAATTTTAATTCAGTACCACAGGGTTCATTTTAGCGGTCCCCTTTGCTTAGTTTGTGATTTCTCAATCAGTGAGAAGCCTGGTTCTCATTATCTGAAAATACTTACTCGTTTGTTCAATTCTAGTACATAATTTCATAATTATTATCCCATATTCCCATTAGAACCACTTTACCACCTGGATTGATATATAAAGATTAGATGGTTTCATAAACCCGTGAGGTTCAGGCATACATACTGCTTCTCTTTGCCGGTACCAGTGCGCATTCCCAGCAGCCCTCCAGGAGAGCACCCTGCAACCCTAACGGAATGTACTGGTTTTTTTTTTAATTTGTGCCAATAGCAGGTGGGAAATATTACCTTGGTACTGTTCATTTGCATTTCTGGGGGTACTTTCCCTAGGTTTACTCTGTCCTCGTCTCCTGTTTTCTCTCTGACCCGTCTTTCTTAAACTAAAAGTGCTGCGGTGAAGTCTATGTGTTTGCTATGCCCCGTCTGTCTACTCTGTCTAGTCTTTGTTTCAGAAAGATAATTGCTCTATGATTTAATATAAAAATCATGATTATATGTTCACCGTGGATTATGGATTTTACTGTTAAAATGCCTTCTTTTGATCTTCAATGCTTTGCATCTTAAAAGGTCAATATTTTTAAATTATATTTGTTTCATCTTCCTGATGACTCCTGTATTCTAGTCCTTACGCGTGCGAGTGTCTCTTGAAATGGACACATCTGCAGTATTCTGTTTCCAAACCAAAACTGAAAGAAGAAAGTGACAGCTGGGTTGTCTCATTCAGTATTTTTACTGAAGTATACTGTGATTTTTGTTTAAAAGTTTTTATCAAGTCCAGTTTCTCAGAGTGTTAGTGTCTCTGGCTCTGGAGAAGAGTTACAGAAGAGGAGGAATCCTGTTCTCCTGCTAGCCTTTCTGCCTTGTCAGTTTGAAACTGTACACGTACATTTCATCCAGAAACACACACACCTTACATCTGTGTATGGGCATGCGCACACAATGTAGAGAAGAGATAGACCACCACCTGGAGCACTGTGGAGGATGGTCAGCCCTCCTTCTGAGAAAATAAGAATGGCCAGTGAAATACTGAAAGGAAAAAGTAAACTGAATGTACCTCTTAGCTAATATAAAAAAAAGACTCGGCTCAGAAAGAGGTGAGAAGGAACCCCTTTAAAGAGGTAGGTGGAGCAGGAGCTGGCTTTTGTCTGAAGGTGCTTGTCTAGCTAGGGAAGCCTTATGATCCTGGGGCAGAATGGACATCCCAGGGCTTGGCTGAAATGAAGTCTAATGCAGATTCTTTCAATAAAGCTGAACTATCTCAGAAGAGCAGCAAACTAAAAATAAATTCCCACTGGCCTTTTTCAGCCCTTGAAAATAACTCTGGTCCTGAACTTAGAACAAACATTCTGAGAATTTATAATAAAAACCAAGCCCTTATTCCAATTTCAGCTGAAATCTGTACTATTTGGAAAGTGTAGACTTGGAATTGAGGATGAACTGTAGTTTCCTTTTCTTGTAAGAAGCAAAGTCAGTCTTTTCTGGAGGAAGATGCCTCCGTCTCAGGCCTCACGTATTTTCCACAGCTAATGTTCTGAGGGAAGTAAACAACTAGCTCACAGGAGACAAGACAGGCAGCCTTAGACCTCAGCCCACACAGGAGGGTCTGAGGTTCCCGCAGAAACAACTGCTGCAGCAGTCGAGATGAAGTGAGTGCCTGGGGTTCCAGCTGGGGGAGGCTTGAAGGTAACCAAGATGTTGAATGAAAATAACAAGTCCCAGAAAAACCCACAGTGTTGCTGAATCTATTTAATCTTAACAATAAAAACCCAGAGTCAGATATTAGGGTGAAAGCTGAAAGGTCAGAGAAGCAGAGCAGCAGCCGCTAGAGACTTCTTACCTCTACAAATCTTCAGACCGAATGGGAAGCCGAGATCTGTCTCCACCCACCTTATATTCCTGTTTCCTCCTCCCAAGTGCTGGGAGGAAAGGTGTGTGCCACCACTGCCTGGCCTCTAAGGTTAACTAGTGGCTAGCTCCACACTCTGGTCTCCAGGCAAACTTGATTTGTCAGAACACAAACAAAATATCACAACACACAGTGTGGTTTCTTTGGGCTAAAGAGACCTACTGTAGATAAACCCAAGTAATGTTTGTTCTTAGGAGTACAACCATGGGTGCTAAAAACTCAGAAACCCAGGGCCTCCCTCATCCACGTGACGGCTGTGATTTAAGGGAACCGCTTACTGGAAATGATTGTCTTCTCAGTCTTCACAGAAAAAATGATTAGCTTGGAGTGAGTGTTACTAATCTTGCTTTTTCTTTCCTCTTGCAGCAAGATGAGACGATGAAGTAGATATGGATCCTAGTTTTTCTGGTTCTCAAAGCACAAAAAGAACAGAAGCATAATTAGGATCAAGACGTAAAACATGAAGTATTCTGTTTGGTTTTTACATGAAGACGTTTTCTGTTTTTTATTTTGGGGGGCTCTCATGGATTATTGCTTTGTCTATTCTTACATTGAGGTGTATGTGCACAAAATCGCCATATTTCAAATAGCAAACTTTTTTTAAAAAAAAAAAAACATTGGTCATTACATAACTTGTTAATTTAAATTTCTACTGGGTATCATTTAACTGTTAACTATTTTCCTTTTACCAAATAAAATGTATCAGTAAACACTTTTGCATTGGTTACCTTGTATACCAGGATATCTTGTTTTTTGCTTTTGAGCCCCTTGGGTATACATGAAGATCAAAGAAGGTTTGAAATCATCTGTCCTGTTGTCGTTTCCCCTTGGCATTCTGCTTTTCGAAATACTTTTTAGGTGTCGGCCTTTTGAATCACTTCAGCTGTATGTAATCTTACGGCTCAGGCAGTGGGAGCTGTGGCGGTTAATATCTGCAGGATCCAGGATCACAGAGGAGACGGGCTCTGGACATGTCGTGAGCAGCTTTCTAGACGAATGAGAGTGGGAAGAGCAGCACCATCCCACTGCCTGGGGTCATACGTGAATGAAGGGGAGAAAGCGAGCTGGGCACAGCGTGGATCTTTGTTTCCTGACTTTCCTCACCTTTGTGGGTGAGATGGGATCAGCTGCCTCCTTCCTGCTGCCGTCCGTGCCTTCTCCATCGTGGTGGATTCGACCCCTTCACACTGCAAACTGAATAAACCCTTACTCACTTAAGTTATCTTTATCAGGTATTTGTTCCTGCAACCAGAAAAGTAGCTAATACCCTAGTTTTCCAGAACTTATTTAAATTTTCGTTTTTTAGAATATATGTGTATTTGTGGGTGCTGGGAACTAAGCTCGAGTCCTCTGGAAGAGCAGCACATGCTCTTACCCACTGTGCCATCTCATCAGTCCCCTTAGGTAAGGATGCCGGGCTTACTTAATGGCCTGCCTTCTCTCTTCTCTGAATCATGTGGGTATATATATGCACAAGTGAGTACAGGAGCCCGAGGAATCCACAAGAGTGCACTGGATCCCCTGGAGCTAGGCTAAGAGGCTGTGAGCCATCTGCCGTGGGTGCTAGGAACTGAACTAGGGTCTCTGTAAGAGCATGAACTGATCCGTCTCTCTAGCCCATTTCCAGGCACATTTCAATTCCTTTCTTATAATTTTAAGGGATAATCCTACTTGTGCCGCAAGCTGTAGGGAGCCAAATATTGAGAACGTAAGCCTATGGGGAGCACTCCTAGTCAAATGATTCCAGGTAAACACTTCATTGCAAGTTAACCATTAATCCACCTGGGGTAACAAGACTGGCAAGTGCTTGGCCCTTAGTTTGGCTTATCTGAAGACCAGGTAACATGCACCTGTTTAAACCTAGAGGAAAGTTACTGATTAGTGAACTTGGGAACCTTTTCTTAGGAATAGTTAGCCATTAACAATGGCATCTTTTCTTGGGAAACAGGGAGAAATAACAGATACAGTTTTAAAACTTTAGGCACCTTCATCTACAGCTAAGCTAGTATTACTCAAGCGTATGATCTCCAAAGTTAATGAGTTTTAAAGTTAAAGCAACTGAAACTGAAGAGTTTTTATTTTCCTTGATTACTTTTCTTATCTAAATCACATGTCTGTTTCCTTAAAATGTTTGCCAGTGGTAAAAATGGCATCTTCGTCTTGTTCCCAGTTTCCGTGAGAATGCCTCTCCTGAGAAAGTGGTGGGGTAACACCTGGAAAGCCCATTTAGGATCACATTGCAGCATAAACTGTTAGTATTTGAGTGGGTTTTTTTTTTGTTTTTTTTTTTTTGTTGTTGTTGTTGTTGTTGTTTTGTTTTAAATCTCAGTTGGTACTGACTTTGTCCAATGCTGCTTGGCACTGAAATTTGATTAGCATCCAACCAAGAGATAAAATTCATAATTACTGTTTGCTGTAGTCTAAAGAATGAGAAGGTGTGTGTGTGTGGGGGGCAGCGCCTGGAGTACCACAGAAGTGACTCTAGGAAGCTCCCACACATCTCTGAGGCAAGACACAGAAAGAGTGGAATTTAGAGGACTCCTCACACACACACACACACACTCCCAAGACAGGCTGGAGAGATGGCTCAGAGGTTAAGAGCACCACTGGATGCTCTTCCAGAGGTCCTGAGTTCAATTCCCAGCACCCACAGGGTGGCTGACAACCATCTGTAGTGAGATCTGGTGCCCTCTTCTTTCCTGCAGGCAGAACACTGTATACATAATAAATAAATCTTTAAAAACAAAAAACAAACCAAAAAGCTCCAAGGCTAGAGCATGAGCCCGGCTCTCTGGTTCCTCGGTGTGACGACACTGGTCAGCTGGCGTGGAGCCCGCTGGAGTGAAGGATAGCCGCGACAGCACGGTGGTCTAGGACCAGCACCGACATGATGAAAACACCCGTGCATTCGTGGACACTGAAGCCTTGGGTTTTGCTGGCTTCAAACACTCCCAGCGGCTGGAAGTTACGAGCGGGAGCCACTTGAAATCCAAACTCCACTTTTTAATACATGCCAGCCATCATCTCCACTCTTAACTTTACACTTCGCTTATGACATCAGGACTAAACATTTCTGTTCTTTGCTAGCTGACCTCATTTTACAGGGGTCACCAAAGGAGAAAACAGAACAAAGGGCGAAGGGATGTCACTTGCTCCTTCCTAAAAGCGGACACCGTTTGCCGGCTTCACCCTGGTGATGGCATGTTGCACAACAGTGCCCGTTGGTCCAGTTGCCAGCTTGCTTCAGCACTCCCGGAATCAGCCCAATGGCCCAGTCTGGAGTGGTGCACCTCCATCAGAGGCCATGGCCGGCCTCTTCACAAGACTCCTCCTCACACCCCTCTGAAATACCCCTCCAGAGATACTGACAAAGACTGAGCCGTGGTGTCCCTCTGAGCTTTCCCAGATACCTAGGTTTTAGTAACCCAGCCCCTTCCCTCGGCTAGCACATTTGGTTCTTGCACATTGCTGGAAGCAAGCAAAATAATAAAAGCCCATAGGAAAGATTTTGACAATATCTAGAAAATTTGCATATCCATCTACTATTTGTTTCTACGATCCCACTTTTGGGAAACTATCAAAAGTTCTCTTAGACAAATGTCAGGGTGCCATGGTTTGTAATAGCAAATGAGCAGCAAAACCATTGCGCACCACCACCACCACCACAACAAAAAATCTGAACAATTGCCACTGGACGGCAGGTTATTTGAAAACCCCTTGAACTGAAAGTTCCTTTTCACTAAGTTGGTGACCGAGAAAGGGATAACTGGCATAGGAAAGATTTTCAGTTTGCATCTTCAGCAGAATGTGCTGCATGGGTAGGAAGACTTGAATGCCCACGGGTTTTATTGGTACTGTAATACTGATGTTCTTGTTTTTAAATAGATCTATGGACAAAATAAAGCAAATAGCTTGTTTTTTTAATATTTATTTTAAGAGTATGAGTGGTGTGTGTGTGTGTGTGTGTGTGTGAGACATCAGAAGAAGGAAATCAGCTTCCCTGGAACTGGAGTTAAGGATGACTGTGGGGCTTGGGAATTGAACCCCAGTCCTCTTAGAGTAACAAGTGCTCTTAACCACTGAGCCATCTCTCCAGCCTCTACTTTAAGATTTTGCAATCAAGATTGTTGGCGTCAGGGAAATGGTACAATTGATTCTAGCTCTGTTCACTATTGCTGTGACAGAAAGCCCAACACTGGATAGTTTATTAAAAAAAAAAAAACAGGTTTGTTCTAGTCTCAGGCTTCTGGAAGCCCTTAACCTCTGAGCCATCTCCCGAGCTCAAGTTAAACAAAGTAACCCCCCCCCCCCCCCCGCAAAAAAAAAAGTATGCCAGATATGGTGGCACACACCTTTAAGGAAGGAAAGGGGAGGGGAGGGGAGGGGTGGGGAAGGGAAGGAAAGTGTGTGTGCATATGCTTTGTGTCTACTGACACATTTAGGGGTAAAACACTTCGTATGAAATTTGCTTGGAGACACCCAGGAAGGCAGGAAATGTTAATCACTTACCACTCAAGTTGTGACTTCCTGGAGTTGTGGAGATGTGGGTTATTCTCTCCGATGAACAAATGGCCAGTTTTCACAAAGAAAATGTGTAGCCCAGCACTCAGGAGGCAGAGGCAGGCGGCGATCTGAGGCCAGCCTGGTTTACAAAGGTGTGTGTGTGTGTGTGTGTGTGTGTGTGTGTGTGTGTGTGTGTGTGTGTGTGTGTGTCGGGAATAATGTGTTTGCATGAACAATATAATCTAGGAAGGCATACCAAGTGAAACGAGGTCTGAAAATTAGTTTGATCTCATTCGAGATTTGCCAAGTTTTATAATATAAAAAGAGAGCCAAAAAGTTGCTTTCTGAGCGCAGGTTTCAAGTATGTAGGTATTTCCCAAGTAAATAAGCATGGTTATTTGCTCCTAAGGGCACAGGGGACGTGACTCAGCAGTCCAGGCAGCCTGACCTCCCCCTGAACAAGCGGAGAGGGTCCAAACGAACTGGAAGCCAATTCGAATAAGCAAGCATTGGCACCAGTTAGCTACCAAAGCAATGACCTGGGACCTCCTGAGCCATCCCACCGATGCCAAAAGATTGCGGTGCCCCTCCCGCTTGGCACAGTGGACAGGTGTCTGGACAGTTTTCTGTTAGGAACTGGGCGGCACTGGTTCTTCCAGAAGTTTCTGGGCGGGCGGAAGCCTGAGACTCAGGCAAGCCCCTCCCCGCTGCCTCAGGCAATTTATTCTCCGCTGGGGCGGGCACTGCTGAGGACCTGCTAGGGACCTTGGGCGTCATGGATCCCCCGCAGCTGCTCTTCTTCGTGAATGGCCGCAAGGTGAGCGCCCGCGGGCTGCCCAGGCAGGGCAGGCCCCTGCATCAGTCCCTGGCCCCTTCCGATCCTGCGCCCCGCTTTCCCCGAGACCTTGACATGGGATGTCGTGCGTCACTACCTGCGCGTAGGAGACTAAGGGCGAGTTTCAGAATTGCCTGAATTCCAGGGTCCCCCTCCCTTCCCAACATCCCCATTCCCTGGCCTTCCCATCCTAATGGGATATGCAAGCCCACCCCTCCTCAAACAGCAAGGGAAAGAGCTCTGTTCTTAACCCATCCGGCACCGTGAATCCAGACCTTCCCACCCTCAAAGCCCCGGCTAATAACATCTTCCAGCACATTTGAATAGACAGCCTCAGTTCTCAGCTTGTCTGGGTGAGCAGTACCCAGATTCAAGCTACCCCGTCATTTCTCAGATGAAGTTGTTGACTTCGTGAAGTCAAAGCAACTTCCTGGGACAGCAGAGCTTGCCAGAACCAGGCTCCCTGCTGGCTGTGGGGTTCTGTTTTGTTTTATTTGTGTGTGTGCTGTGGCTCTGAAGACCTTGCTGGCTGTTCCAAGCCAAGCCTGTTGCTCCTGCACAGCGAAGCCCCTGGGCATCATTTAAAGCCGAGGTCTGGGCAATGACCTTGCTTGCTCAG